TTTTTTTTTTTTTTTTTTTTTTTTTTTTTTTTTTTTTTTTGGAAAAAAAAATTAGATGAAGTGTTATATTTGTAATGCAATTTAAATAAAAAAAAAAATCATTTCATATATAGTATTTTTTTTCTGTCGGTTTACCAAATTAATTTTTGTCTTTAAAAAAAAGTAAAAAAAATTCTAAGTCCAGAAAGTAAACGATAAACTACCAATCACATTCAATGGATCGACGCTCATTACTAAAAGGTCAAACACTTTTTTTTTGAAACAGTTAATAGTAAACATAAAGCGGGAGGGAGCTCTCATTTTTTCACTATAAAAAAATTTATTTAAAAATTAATTTATAAAAATTTTTGAATGTTTCTGAAATTTTATACGTTTTTTTTTCCTTTATTTAGTTTTGAAGAAAATTACCAAAGTAACCAACCCCAAAGTCAACGTACATACATACATTGTGTTAATAAAGTACATATCTAATACAAAATTTGAACATATAGATTTTAGTACTATATTACACGAGATTCAAATTAGCTTAGGTCTTCTATAGTATATGTTCAAATTTTGTATTAGATATCACTCTCACAATCCCCTAGTCACCTGACCTATCGCAACACGCTTTTGCTTTCATTTATAACCTCTTCATCTTTCTTTTAATACTTTACCCGTTGATACCCCATTCAATTTATTAAAAGTTATAACCTTGTCATCCTTCGGACCCCGTAAACTTTCCTTGTATCTTGAGTTTGTTCGTATTTCGACTTGTCAGATACCTTGTTGTTTGGCTTCGTCTTGTGGATCCTCCGAGACCTTCTTTACCTATAAGCTCATCTTGACTTTTCAATTGTAATCTTGTAATCCTTTTCCTAACTCATCTTCCATCCCTGATTTGTATATCGCGTTCATCATATCATTTTCGTTTTTAAAGTATATTAAGATATATTTCAATTTGTTGATTCTAATCACTTTTTTGAAAAAGCCTCCGTATTTCTTGTTGTACTATCACAATTTCACCATCCGTTATCTCATTTCCTATAGAAATTTGTTTACATGCTTGCCAACAAAATTTTTTATTTATCTCCTGTGGCGTTCGTTAACTTAGAATCAAACATCCGGAAAAAATACTGACGACCGTTCTTGTTAATTGTGATATTGGCCCCTCCTCGCTTATAATTTCTTCATAGATTAATGTGAATTTATTTATTTTATTTATTTTATTACTAAAAGAGTGGCAGAACCCAGGCTATTACAAATAGAAGGAGAAAGATTTCGAAAAACTTAAGACTAATATATGTGCATAGACCTTTGTTCGTCATCCCCTACGGGACCTCACTCTTCGATCTGTACTATTTGATAAAGTAGGACTACGCTAATAAATCAAATGTGAACCAATCAAAAAAAAACTAAACTAAAAAAAAAGAGAAGTTAATTGATCCATATTTTTCTTTTGGCCGAGGCCACCACCTGTAAATACTGTCATAGGCGGAATGGTTAACACTATTCTTATTGTATATACTATCATACTAAATAAAAAAGAAACATAAGAAATAGACAACGTCTATACAAAAAATTGATTCCAAAATAATGAAAAAAAAAACTATATATAGATAAAAAAAAGGAACATTAAAAGGATGATTTGGACGATCCCGCCTGCTCAGAATCAAGAGCTAGAGGAGAATCTAGACGGGAGCGTTTATATATATCATGAGATCTGTGAATATTACTAAAGGTATGATCAGCTCGTTTTAAAGGACGAGTTTCAATTTCCTTGGTGTCATCAGACGTGTACGGTTCACTATCAAACGTTTTATATGGGTATTCGAACGGAGAACGCGTGGTATTACGCTTTAAAGATAGAGGAGCGGATACACCTGGATAGTTGATCAAAAAAGAATCCATTTCCGATTGTAAAAGTTTCTTCTTTTGTTTACTTTTCTTTTTCTGGTATTTCGAAAGGGTAGGACGTTGAGGGTTCGACATATCATAATGAAAATCATTATTCCATTGAGTTAAATCCACCGCTTGACGTTGTCGATATAACACATGGTTAGAACTAGTGCCATGATATCGGGCCAAAGTTTGAATTCGAGCGGCTTCTTCTAATTGAAGCTTCTTGATATTAAGTGAACGTTCTTCTTGATGTTGTTGATAACGAAGTTTAGTAGCCTGATTTTCGGCATAGAGTTCATCCATTCTAGCGTTAAATTTAGTGGCCTCAGCTTTTTCAAGGCGTTCATCACGGGTATTTAAATCCAATTGATACATATAAGTAAACCATTCCCTAGAACCAGGGACAATAAAAGAACCAAAATTATCATAAATAGGATCAGGCGGTATGATATCCCGATATTTAATAGAAATAAACATATCCGGAGTAGGATTATAAGGAGCGACCGTATATAATAAATCATCATTAGAAGCCGGAATTAGAGTCGACTCTGTGACATTAGAAGTATTCCTTGTAGTCCTTAATTCCTTGGACGTGTTCGTATTGGCGCTAAAATAATGCGGAATGGTGAAGTTATAATCCTTTTGTTTGGGGATATCAGCAGTTTTCTTATAATGTAAGTGTCTGAGAGGAGCCGTAAATTTTTGAGATGGTAAAAAAAGAAATCGTCCTTTTTTAGCTGCAGCCAGTTTCGTCGATGTACTGGAAACAGCACCTGGTTTAATAACTTCTTGTGATAAAATACGACGACAAGAGCGTTCGAATCTGACTTGTTGCTTTTTAGCTGTCCTCGAATTTGGACTTGGAGTTGAACGGAAGTTATTCATAAGTTTGTGGTAAATGTGAGTACGTCCAGGGTTGATTTTACGATTCGAATTACAAACAATATATCTAAAATTATAAGAAATCCCCGTTCTTGTAGAGAAAATAGATTTTGATTCTTTTTTTATCCATCGGTCAAATGTCAATTTAGCGTGAAGCTCTTTGTTCTGAGGGTGGATCTTAGGTGTGAAATCACCATTATCATTTCGTATAAAAGTTAACCCATCTGGATATTTCTTAAAAAAGTGTAAACCGCATCCGTATCTATTATTAGACATAACTATAGGAGAAGGAACCTCACAACATCGAGGTGGAAGAGATAAGCCTTTCGACTCAATTCTGTGGTCGCAAGAAATAAAGATACCAAAATGAAATCTGTATCTTTTATACGAAAAATTGAAAAAAGTTTTCGTTATTGTATTCTTATTGTTGATTTTGTATTCACGTGATTTGATAAACGTGATTCTATCTAATAATTTTTGGCGTAGCATATTGAAATATTTATGTTGGATACGGCGTGGAATAACTCTTTGTGAAGAAAAAAAATGCTGAAGACCTTTGCTAATTTGATATTTGGCGTTCGGTAGTGCACTTGTGGAATGATACTCAATAGGGGTAGTTGACATGAGATAATCATTTGTGTGTATCTTTAAATGAAGCTGATTGGTGTCCAAATGGTGATCAACAATCTCAAAAAAGAAACTTTTTGAACGTCTAAATTCATAGATCTTGTTATAACCGGATTTGTATATTCGGGTCACGTGAAATTTTTTGAAGGAAATGAGAAAAGAATTATTTTCACACGAAGGTGGTGAAAGACGTAAAGGAGTGTGGACTGGTATAGTCAAGAGTGAAGTATCCTGTAGTTGTATATTTGTGCCTAAAACATTATTTTCAGCAAGTCCATCTTCAGCAATATTACTTCTGATATTGGAAATAGCGTCCAACTGGCTATAAGATTTCAGAGACTCATATGAAACCGAGGAAAAATCTATCTCGATAAAGTTTGAAGAAGTCATATCCCTAATATATGGGTATTAATAAGAACAAAACCTCGTATTGTGACCGAGGCGCCCTACAGGGCCTCTTAACCCTTTGGGTGTTTCAAATAGAAACTAAAAAAAACCTTGCGTTAAATTACTGCGGAAAACTAACAAAAATAAAAAAGGGGAAAGAGTTTTTTTTCAGTTCCATAGATTAATGTGAAGCGAAGTTTAGCCTATATTTATTGATGCTCATTTTCTCCACGTGACCTATACTTCTCAAAATTTTCTTCATCCAAGGAAAATCGTAAAATGCACCATCACGTGATCTTTCAGCATAACTAATTTCCGGCAATTTCATTGTTTCCTGGACTCGAAAACCGATGTCAGAAATTTTATTAACAAACATTTATTAACATTTATAAAATTTTTTTGTTAATTTTTTTTACTCATTTATATTCCTAATGAACTTTTGGCACCTTTTCAAGCGGCTATTAAATCAAAGAAGCGCATTAAACGTTTGTTATTATCATTCGTTCATTATTTACATGTTGAAATTTACAACATCATTTGGAAAACACGCAGCTCAAAATTCAAAGAATGGAAATCCTCCAACAATATATCTAAAAAGACCTTCCAAAACTACCAACGTAGGCAAACACATAATTCGCTACCCTTGAGGGATCATTCACGACGACAACTTACACAATCGTCTTGGCAGTATCGATGTCCGTATAGCGATGATAGACGCATCCTTGACATTACCGTCGTGTGGATTTATTTTACTTCTTCGAATTTCTTTCACAATTTACCGAGGTATCATTAGCTAGACTTTTCTGTTTTTATAGATATTTCTTCTTTAATTAATTCTTCTCGGTATGCTTTCCTCTATTTTTACTTTAGCTTCTAATTCCTTTGTTCGTTCACTGCTATGGCGACTATGTCTCCATTAGTCAGTTCGTTCTAACGAAGAGTGGGTCCGCCTGTTGGATTTTGTACGTCTAGTTTAGCTGTGTACTTATATTGTGTCTTGTAGTCATAACGAGTCTGTAACTAAACGATGTATTCACCTCTTATAAGTAAAAAATAAAAAATAAAAAATAAAAAATAAAAAATAAAAAAAAAGTTACGTTAACCATTTTGATTATCCTGTGTATCCGAATTTTTCCGATTTTTACACCTT